CTCCCAAGTAGCTGGGACCACAGGTGCCCGCCACAACGCCCGGCTATTTTTTGGTTGCAGCCGTCATTGTTGTTTGGCGGGTCCGAGCTGGGGATTCGAACCCGCCACCTTAGGTGTACGTGGCTGGCGCCTTAGCCGGTTGAGCTATAGGCGCCGACCAGTCAGTTCTTAAAATAATCCAGATACAGAATGGTCTTGGTTAATCTTTTTCTTAAAAAGATGGTTTATAGGTAATATAATTTGATGTAAAGAGACAAGCTCTAAATCTTACAGATAAAATTATCCTTATTGTTAAATCTAAAGTCCCTAATTTGAAGGCTTATCACTACCTGCAGCTTTGCCTCTTATATATTATTTCACTGTTGACTTTGCTCAAATAAAGATACTGCCCTACTTTATTAAAAGTAATTTTAAAGCACCTCAATAATATCTCCACATCTCACTCAGCACCTCATAGTTAAAGCTCACTCATTCAGGCAATGATCAACAGATGCTACAACATTATGAGAAAGGCTGATGGTGACAACAGAACGATCAGGCTGCCAACACTTGAACCCACTGATCAAGGCTGGCACCATGAGAAGTACACAGCATCGTCCATGAAACACTCAGATTAAATGCAGGAAACAGAGGCATTAGCTAAATGGCAATGCCAGGAAGCGATGAGACAAATCTGGAACGCTTTACAAAACTAGCCCATCTAACAAGTAAATGACATGGGGAAAAAGAGTGGAGTTGGAAAAATGAAAATGCCCTCAATTCAAAGAAACCAAGAGCCATAATGATCAATCTCAATGAGCAGACTTTATGTGAATCTGATTTGGAAAAGCAACTGTAAAAACACATACAGGGTGGCCATAAAGCTGCACATTATTTTAAACTGCACATGAACTTAATGGCCTCCCTGTATATGTGCATATTTCATTCAACTGGGGAATACATGAATATGAGAGGAGCGTCTGAGAAGAAGTGATTTTACTTTTGTTAGGTATGATTATGAAAAGTTTCCAGATACGCAAAAAATAAAGAAACAAAATCAGCACAGACAGAAACAAATGAAGCCCTCCCAGCAACACCGACAAGCTGAACAAGTTGAAACCTGCACAGGTGAAATCACAAAGGATGGTGCCTGCCTATGTTACCTGCAAGTGAAATAATAAACCATAACCCAGTCTGTCTCAAAATTTTCATAATGACGCACATATAAGAACATGTCATTTTCTACAGTTATGTGTTAGGGGTAGAGTCCACAAGGGTTCATCATACAATTTTCTCTACTTCTGTGTTGTTTAAAACTTCCAGAATAGAGTTTTTCTAAAAGTTCATGAACACAATAAACATTTCTGGACTTATCCAGCACACTCCACACAGTTTTACAGATACAGAGATGATAACATTATCAGGGGTAAAGAACTGATGGTATTACGTGAACCACCCCAAGAATGGGGAAGGCAAATATTAGGTCATTAAATATGAAATATCTGACTTCTAATCAAAAGTTTATTATATCTCATACAGAAGTAGTACAATTAATTAAAAGTACTGTCTAAACTATCAACACAGTTTTGTCATCTTAACAGTAGCCTGTTTGCATGAGCACTGAAGCAGCCTGGAGAAAAGTGGCAATGAAACCACAAAAGGCGTTTTCCCAGCTTACTGAGAATTGAATACTTTTTCTTTTAAGAAGTGGCCCTGGCTCGGCGCCTGTGGCTCAAGCGGCTAAGGCGCCAGGTGGCGGGTTCGAATCCCCAGCTCGGGCCCGCCAAACAACAACCATGGCTGCAACCAAAAAATGGCCAGGCATTGTGGCAGGCGCCTGTGGTCCCAGCTACTTGGGAGGCTGAGGCAGGAGACTCACTTGAGCCCAGGAGTTGGAGGTTGCTGTGAGCGTGATGCCATGGCACTCTACCCAGGGGGACAGCTTGAGGCTCCGTCTCAAAAAAAAAAAAAAAAAAAGGAAGTGGCCCTAAGTCTGGATGAAGTGGCAGTCAGCTGGTTTAAGGTCTGGTTAGTACAGAGGGTGACAGTTTTAGCAGACGTCCACTGTAATGGACGAGGTTTTATGAAGCTGTAAGGCTTCATACTACCAGCACTAGACTACCAAACAGACACCATTAGCTTTTTGGGGCAAATATCTGGTTTGGGACTGTGTTTCAGCAGTTTATCTTTATTCAGTCACTGGGCCAAACACTTGTGACTGTCAAAAAGAATCTATTTTTTACCACACATAACAAGTAAGTGTAGAAATGGTCCACCTTGACGTTATGACAGCAAAGAAAGGCAGGCTTCAAGACAATTTTTCTTTTGAAGTTTATTTAACTTACGTAGTATTTGTCTATCCACCTTCTTTACCTTTTCATTTGTTTTAAATGGTCTAACACTGTTGGAATAACAACATCAAGCCTTGTTGCTGATGTACACATAGGTTGAGACGAATTTGCCCTCACTGCAGTTTTTAGTTTATCATTATCCACCTTGTTGTCAGGTCATTCATGTGGCTCATTTTTAAGATTAAAATTACCAGAACTTTTTAACCATTAATGTATTGTGTTTTCATTAGCCACATCCTTTCCAAACACTTTTTCGATATTCTACACCAAGCGTCCTCAAACTGCGGCCTGCCTAGGACATTTATCCGGCCAACTGGGTGTTTTTGCTGCCCTGCCTGTCCTGCTTAGCAGCCGACCCATTCTGGGGCCCACAGTCCAGCCCTCCAACGGTCTGAGGGACAGTGAACTGCACCCCTGTTAAAAATTTTGAGGACCCCTGCTCTAAGCTGTCTGTTGTATTGGTTTTATGAAGGAACTCACATTTGAAAATATACATTTCTGAATTATCTATGATTCTACAAACCTTGTTCTAAAAAAAAAAAAAATCTGAAAGATAACTGTTAAGTCAAAACGTGCATCTGAAAAATTGAGGATGTATCTTTACAACAAAACAAGGATCAAAGTAAAATATCACAGACATTAACATGTCTATGTTCATAAGGTGAATATAAATCTACTCTATCTGTAGTGGTTAACAGAACAGAATTTGAATTGGGACAGATCAGGGTTCAAACTCAGATTCTATCTCTTGCTAGCTGTGTGCCCCTGTAAACCACGTAACCTCTCTTAGCTTCTGTTTCCTCATCTGCAAATGAAAATAAGAGCACCTTTACAGGGCTGTTATACAAATGTGAACAATGCTGGAGAATGCCTAGCCGCTTACTATTAACAAAAATTATGCATTTCAGCATTTTTAGTTCCACTTCATGCATGTTCTTTGTTGGTCTGAACTGTTCTATAATTGGGGAAATCAATCTTATCTTCCGGCTGGGATTATCTGAGTAATTAAAAATGAGAGATACAAGAACAGTCTATGTATGATAAATTTAAAACTATGAAGAATCACAGATTTTTTTCAAACTGATCATTTTTACAGGTTGTCCATTACTATGACAAAGAACCTGATTACGCAAATATGCACGCTGTAAACTCTTAGCCTGAGCTGAATATTCTGTGATTCAATTTTCCCTTTAATGTATTTAGATTTTAACACCCCTGGCCCTTCCTAACATCAACTATGCATTCCAACACCTAGTTTTACAAATACTGCCAAGCCACTTATCAGAACAAAGAAGATCCCTAAAGTATAGATAAAAACATTAAGTTACAAACATGTACAAGTTTCCCTCTACCTACTGGATAACATTTTGTTTAGTTAGTGTCACTTTTCTAATTGTTTTTAAAGTTTCAACAATAAAATTACTGCCACCAAGCTAGTAACTCCAACTTACACTACATCATATACATCAAATCACATACTACATCCAAAGATCTAAATCAGATGTTCTGTAGGCCACAGACCCTTCTGGGTCCTGAAGACCCTCTGAGGTCACCTATGAAGTCAAAACTATTTTTGATACTAAATATTATTTGCCTGTTCACTCTCACTGACATCTGCACTAAGAATGAAAAGCAAGGGTGAATGTGCTGAAGCCCTATCAAGAGTCAAGGCTGTGGCACTAAACTGTCACTGTGCTCAGAGGGAGTCAGTTTCATTTAATAATCTCCCCAATGAAGTGTTAAAATTATTAACTTTATTAAGTCTTTATTAATTAATTAATAATTAAAATTATTAACTTTATTAAGTCTTTATTAAGTCCAAAACAGGAAGGATGTTATAAAGCACTTCTCATTTGTGTGGAGGAAAAACAATTGTGCAACTGAGTTACACACTCAACAACCTGCTTTTTAATACCACTTCTACGCGTGAGAATACCTGACAAATTCTGGGTATTCAGACGCTGGTATGAGGCAGGCAACTTTCCAAACTGAACAAAGTGAGCCAATTACTTCAGAACACCTGATCGTACTTCTCGCCTATGATAAAATCCCAGCTTTCATGTGAAAATAATTATTAAGTGTAGAGCGCTTACACCTGTCATCATGATAGGCTTGATGTTTCCCAAAGCTAAAGGAGGCTTTTCATGAGATTAATGGACACTAAATGAAGTGTTTTTTCTTTTTCTTTTGTAATGAAATGGGTCAACAGCTGGGAGAACTGCATAACTCAGTGAACCAATATTATTCAAATGATCAGTGAGAATATAAATTTTTGTAAGCTTCTCAGTTTTCGCTTCTCACGTGGTAAATATTGACAGGAACAACCCAAGAACAAAGTCCTGTGGCATCCTCGATAACTTTTAAGCGTGTAAAGGGGTCCGGAGACCAAAAGCTTTGAGAACCGGTGGTCTACATTACTGTTATGTAAGAAAGTAATGGGCATCAACTTAAGGAAGTTCCTAAATCGTGAAATTCTTATCTTTTCTTGCACCTGTCCAAAGGAGCCTTCCTATCCGTGAAGAGCTGACTTACACACAGACTTGGAATGTACTGGAGAAGAGAAAGGAGGACGACGAGAATGAAAACGTTGGAACTATTAGCAAGGAACTTTTTTTTTTTTTTTTTGAGACAGAGCCTCAAGCTGTCCCCCTGGGTAGAGTGCCGTGGCATTACAACTCATAGCAACCTCCAACTCCTGGGCTCAAGCGAGTCTCCTGCCTCAGCCTCCCGAGTAGCTGGGGCCACAGGCGCCCGCCACAACGCCCGGCTATTTTTCGGTTGCAGCCATTATTGTTGTTTGGCGGGCCCGGGCTGGATTCGAACCCGCCACTTTAGGTGTACGTGGCTGGCGCCTTAGCCGGTTGAGCCACAGGCGCCGAGCCAGCAAGGAACTTTTAAAGAAGAGTTCTGAGACTGCCCTTCCTCCGCGTTCCAGCTGGGCACAAACGCTTAGTGAGGCGACAGAAGCAAACTACCAGAAAAAGCTGGGGAACGCCGGGACAGATAGGAGTGGGGACCGGGGCAAAATGCGAGGGAAGTAGGCAAAGCCGGGGGGTTTCCAGCAATTCTCACCCTTCCATCCGTCAGGACCCCGAGTGCGGCGGCGAGGAGGGGATGGAAGGAGGGGGCTCCCTGGGATGGTGGCAGGGGGCTCGGTAAGCCCTATCCCGACCCCCAATCTTTCCAGTACCGTCCCCTCCCCCCGCGCCCCGACACACACGCACAGACGCGCACACACTCGGGGTCCTCACCACCAACAGGTGCCTGTCCTCCACCAGCTGCCGTTTCCGAAGAATCTCCGACTTCAGAACGTCCATCGCGCTGCCGGTTCCTCAGACACAGCCTCACCCGATCAGACGCCGTAAGCCCCCTTCTCCCACCACAGCCAAGCCCAAATACCAAACAACAACAACCCACGGGCGCCCCTTCCGGCGGAAGCTGAGGTGAGCGAGAGGAGGGAAGAGCGCCCTCCGCGGCGCCCCGCTGACGAAGCGGCTATATACGCGCGCCCCCTCGTGGTGCCCTCCGGATGCGCACCTGTGCTGTCCCCCGCAGACAGGTGCAAATAGACCGGGACTGATAAAATAATTAATTTTATTAAGTCTGGATCCTTTCTTTTTTTTTTTTTTTGCAGTTTTTGGCCAGGGCTGGGTTTGAACCCGCCACCTCCAACATATGGGGCTGGCACCCTACTCCTTGAGCCACAGGCACCACTCCAAGTCTGGATCCTTGACGGCATCAGAACCCACGTGTTCTCAATCGTGCTCAGGTAGGTATGCTGCATTTTTTGCTGTTACTCTACCTGCTTGCACCTGCTAGTTCAGGTCCAAAATATTGCTCCTAGAACACCTCAATTCAGGAAAACTCCTTACTTATTGTATTAGAAGTTCACATCAGGGTTTCTGAAGTTAATTGCTTTCAAAAATTAACGTAATAGGGGCGACGCCTGTGGCTCAAGGAGTAAGGCGCCGGCCCCATATACCGGAGGTGGTGGGTTTAAACCCAGCCCCGACCAAAAAAAAAAAAAAAGAATTAAGGTACTTGAAATTCAGAAAAGCCCAGATAACAAAACTAGTTCATAAGTGTAGACAGAAAGGGCAGCGATGATAGCTAATCTGTTAAATTTCCTGTGAAGTTAACTGCATCCATTGAAGACATTTCGGTAGTAAACTTGTCTCTACTCCCTCAGTTCTAAATTGCTTACAACTCTTGGTAATAATTGAGCATTTACCTCAAACTACTGAAATCGTCTGTTTTTGGTCACGTGTCCAGCAATCAAGATTTTCAATGACACGATTGCAGATGTAATCAGAAATATTTTTTAAGTACAACCCAAGAAAAAAAATTAAACTGAAGGAAAAAAATTATCTCAGAAATTTTTTTAAGACCCTAAAAACTGCTTACAATGCAATTATTTTTGGTTTCCTGCCCTTGAAGCATTTTTTAATGTTAATTGTTATAACTAAACAGTAATTGACAAGTTAGTTTTTCCCACTCAAAAAGGTAAGAAATATCATTCAAATCCATGAATTGATCATGGATAAGATGGTTTATCATAACAAAAGATGAAAGACAATTGTTCATCTCAATTTAGGAAGTTTTTTGGGGGGAGGGGGTGTTATTTTAAAAGACATCTGAACTTTGCCAGAAATAAATCAAGATAGGAAAAGAATTCACTCTCTGACCTAAAATGCTTGGCTGACTGTTAGGGCTTTTGAAACAAATCTTAAGATTTTTTACAAAGAAAGTGAACTTGACATGGAAACACTTTTGCATGGATATCTGTTTCCTGCATCACTTAAAATTCAGTGAGCAAATAATACCCTAGTGGCATTTTCCTGATTTAAAGAGTAAATATTACGACACAAAAAACCCTGAAGGGTTGAAATAGATGATTGTGACCACAATGGAAATTTACAGAGAACACAAAGAAAACATGGCCAGGTGGGAAACTGTCAGTGGAAACCAGAGTAGGTATTAGGGACGGGTAACAGCCTCCTTTTAAATTTTGGCTTTCATTGATTTTGATGTTTATGTAAACATGTGCATTAAATCCTGATTGGGGCCTGAGATCAAAGAGTGAGAGAAATGAGTTCTTGAACAAGCGAACCCATGAGCAAGCTCTTCAATAGAAAAAGAGGATAAAAAGTTGACCAGGAAAGTTTAGAAACACTCAAAAGAACCAATCGATCCTGCCTCCAAAAAGGAGTGTATTCATTAAAAAAAAATGCATCCTGGGTGGCGCCTGTGGCTCAAGGAGTAGGGTGCCAACCCGTAGTAGGTAGTAGGTTCAAACCCAGCCCTGGCCAAAAAAAAAAAACATGCATCCCATTTCATCATAATAGTTATTTAAAAAGTGTAATGCTGGGAAAAAAACCAAATGTCTTAAATGGGAGAATAGTTAAATTATTGTTCATGCATACAAACTAATAAAATAGGACCATTAAAAACCATGTTTTAAAAAATATTCATTGGTTGGAAAATGCTCGTGATATAGTATTCAGTAAAAAAGTAGACTATTCTCTGTTTTGTAACAAAAACATACAAACATGAGCTAATGATTGGAAGGAAACATACCAAAGTATTAAGTTGTTATCTGGGCTGGGCGCCTGTATCTCAGTGGTTAGGGCACCAGCCACATGCACTGGGGCTGGTGGATTTGAATCCAGCCCAGGCCTGCTAAACAAACAACAACAACAACAATAAAAATAGCTGGACCTTGTGGCAGGCACCTGTAGTCCTAGCTACTCGGGAGGCTGAGACAAGAGAATCACTTGAGCCAAAGAGTTTGAGGTTGCTGTGAGCTATGATGGCATAGAATTCTACAGAGGGTGACAAAGTGAGGCTCTGTCTCAATTGGAAAAAAAAGTTATTATCTGGACAGTAGAAGGACTAGTAATTCTTATTTTCTTCTTCATACCACAATCTGGTACAAATCTACTAATTTGGAAGGAAAAAATCCAGATATCAGTCATTTTCCATTTATTTAATTATAACAAATTATGACAAATTTTCTAGCATGTGTACTTTAGAAATTATATATGATAAATCTTAAATAATGTCCATTATTTAAAAGCAAAGGACTAGACAAAGAAGAATATTTTTAATTTTCATAATTATTCAATCCAATATTTAAATGTCAAGTTCAGTGGCCCAAATGAAAAGATAGTCCCTACTTGGAAGAGATTGCCAGGTAGTCAGGAAATCAAGAAGTAGTTAAATTATATAAGGTGCATATGATATAACAGAGTATATCAGGCTATAATATTCACAGAAATTAAATATGAGTCAGCTTCTTTTTTTTTTTTTTTTTTGAGACAGAGCCTCAAGCTGTCCCCCTGGGTAGAGTGCCGTGGCATTACAGCTCACAGCAACCTCCAACTCCTGGGCTCAAGCGAGTCTCCTGCCTCCGCCTCCCAAGTAGCTGGGACCACAGATGCCCGCCACAACGCCCAGCTATTTTCTGGTTGCAGCCGTCATTGTTGTTTGGCGGGTCTGGGCTGGGGATTCAAACCCGCCACCTTAGGTGTACGTGGCACCTTAGCTGGTTGAGCTATAGGCACCGAGCCTATGAGTCAGCTTCTAATCTAAAAGAAGAAATGGTAAAAAAAAAAATCAATACATGATTGATGAGATTTTTCCTCTGCAGGAGTAAATGATCCTAAGAAATTATCTGTCATAATTTCTGAAGACTAGAGGGCAATGCCAAATTTAATCAGGATCATCTGCATTTGTTTTGTTGCTGTCCTTAAAGGATAGAACGTCACTTGACAAGAAAGAAAAGCTATCCTAATTAATACTCTGGCTCTCATTCCTTAGTATCCTGGGGGTGACCTGGAGGATCTTGAAACAAAGACTGCTGGTCCCCATCCTCAGAAACTGAATGGCCATTCAGTATGTTTGGGTGGGACCCCAAAATTTGGTTTTTGAAAGGATTCCCAAGTGAGATGGATGCTGGTGATCCCACCCAGGGACCACCCTTTCAGAAGCACTGACCTCATATATTACTCTGTAATCTTCTGTGGGGGGGGGGGGAGTGAGTGAATCAGAAATTCAGTCTGAGTGGAGTCCTGAGAATCAGAGCAGAGGAGGAAGCCGGTGGCAGTGTGTCACAGAGCTGTGACAGGCACCCCTCAGGGAATTTCCTAATGGGAAGGGGGCAGGCTCCCTTTGGATCCAGCCACATTCATGGGACAGCTTTGTAGCATCACTGCCTAGTGAGTACCTGTTCTCTTTTGTGACAATCAGGGTCCCTTCTCTAGAAAACTGAAACTGTAACTGAGTCAGTCTTTCTAAGATGCGGCATGTATAAAATGGGCATTTGAGAGTAGCAGAGAGCCATGTCAGAGGCTTACTGCAGCCAGGCTGGTCCATGCCCCAAGAGCTGATGGTTACATTTTTAAGAATTTATATCAGTTGTTAAACATGGCCCTTGTTAAACATGAAATGATTTTATTTATAATTAAATTGATAACTATAAGTCAGTCATTTTACTGCATTTTATGATTATTGTTTATGCTCTTGGGGTTATTGATGACTGTTGTGTCTTTGTGGTAGAAATGGTACATAATGGTGGCTTCCTGCACATCCCCTACTAACTCCACACTTGAGGACATCACATTGGTATCTTGGATCAGCCATAATGACTACATTAGCTGGGGTTTGCCAGGGAAACAGAATGGCTAGGATACGTCGATACTAATAAGAGATATGTTATGGGAATTCATCATGCAGTTATAGAAGCTGAGAAGTCCCACCATCTGTCACCTGCAAGCTGAAGAGGCAGCAAAGCCAGTGGAGTCACTCAATCCAAGTCTGGGGAGAAGAGGAGATTGTATAAGTTCCAGAGTCTGAAGGCTTGAGAACCAGGAGCTCTGATGTCCAGGGGCAGTGAAAGGTGGATGCCCAGCTGAAAAAGAAAGAGAGAATCTGCCCTTCCTCTGCCCTGTGGTTCTATTCTGGCTTTTAACGCATGAGGTGGGTGATGCCTGCCCACACTGGGGAGGGCAGACCTCCTTTACCCAGTCTACCAGTTCAAATGCTAATCTCATCCAGAAACACTCTCACAAACACACCCCAAAAGAATGTTTTACCAAATATCTGGGCATCTTGTAGCCCAGTCAAGCTTACATATAAAATTAACGGTCACAATGGGAGTATTTACACCACAGAAACTGGCCAACAGTACAAATCTGGGCTTGATCTATTATTTTGTTGGTTGTCTAAACTTTAAAAACTTATGGAGAAAATACTAATATTACAGATAAGGGTTTTTCAGCCTTGGGCCAGATACTGTTATATTGTGGAAGGTGTGCTCCTGACCTCCCCTCATTAGATGCCGGTAGCATCCTTTCCCTAATCATGACAACCAGAAATGTC